GTCAGTGCTCTAAAAAAGGCTACTACACTGACCAAGCCACGGCTACTAAGCCCCTCCGCCACGGCAAGGCAGAAACTCATCGAAGGGGTTAAATCGATATACTGTAATAACCTGGTGTCCAGGATCGGAATTATCAATAGCTTGATTGTATCTTGTATCTTGTATTAACTGATGTTTGTGCTTTCAGTCCAGAGAGACTATTAAAGCTTCATCTGAAAGAAATGGGCTAGCCAGAAACTTGTTTTGCTGATGCGTGCGTTTAACTAAACAGGGCCATCGTGGTCCAGGATCGGAATTATATAGAAAATATTTTCAACTCTGTGTGTGTAGTGTTTTTAAGTACAGTCCCCTTCCTCGACCTATGACGTTTGTATTTGAGTATTGAGTTTAGTTCTGTTGCATCGATCGATGTTACCTCTTTGGTGTTGTAACAGATGGCGTTAGTAGTACAATAACATTCTATCTATACCAAACTGTTAATTTTCATGTTTGGTTCATTAATTACTTTTTTGATATATCAAAGCTGCTTTAACATTAATAATTAAACGATTGACAATAAAATCTTGGTACCCTTCATTTTTTCTAAACAAAACATACTTTTTTTACTTAAATTTACTCATATTATTGGGCAGTTACAAAATTAATGGCAAATTTAAAAAAAATAGAATTTTCGTGATATAAATATGATTCTGCCTCTCGTTCTCTTTTCTAACGTTCTCTCCTCTGATTCATCAACAAACGGTTCTTTACGGCCTGTTAATGTGAGTCTTCGCGTCATTTTACTGTAGTTTATTCTTTGTTTCGCTGTAACAATATCATTAATATACTTACTGTAGGTGAAATATTTGACTGGTTTTCAATAAGTTATCGTTCACGCATTCCTATATAACTTTTTAGAGGTGCTCACTAATAGTCATTTCAAAACATGTTCAAAAAATGTCAACCTTAGTTTTATTGCAGTTGCCAATGATTAACTCTTTAGTTTTCTAACGGACGGCGTTAGTAGTGCAAAAACATTGTATCAAACGTATATAAAAAAAACAAATTACATTTTTTTTTTGGAAGATAACACATCTATATATGAAGTTAAATTACTGTGTTAAAACACCATTCTCTATAGATTTGTGGTACACTTTACGGAAAAACTATCAGGTCTATACCTGATAGTTTTTCCGTAAAGTGTACCACAAAAGAGCTCAGATTGTCGAATAGTGTTAGGACTCGCTCGCCCTAATTATTTACATAGACGCTTGCGTGTTCTTATGAAACGTCAAAAGCACTGGTTCGGAAATCAGTTTTTTTTTGTATTTGAATAATTGCCAAACGAGCAGACGGTTGGTTGGTTGGTTGGTTGGTTGGTTAGGTTTTTTTTTTTTTTTTGCAATGCTCTTTTCATACTAATTTTAGTACTATGTTCTTTTCCTTTACATACATACATTCATATTAACATACTGTTATAGTTTCAGTTATACATTTAGAATATAAATTTGTTTTACCTTTAGTTCTTTTCTTGTTTATAACATTTCCAATTTTTGCCTAATTTGTTGTTACATTTGTATCTTGCTTATTCTACCTACATAGCTAATTACTTATTACTAGTATTTTCTTACAGCATTTCAAATATACAAAATAGAGAAACTATTTTAATTAACTTTTACATCAAATTCTTATTTTACTTATCATTTACTTCATGTATACTTATCTTAACTAGCCATTCCTTGTCGCCATTTGCCATTATTATTCTTTCCCAAAATTATATTTATTTGCCAATTTTCCGTTTCATTTACAATTAATTGCTACTTCCTGATTTGTTACATTTTATTCGAGAATTGTATCTTATACACAGAATGTATAAAAACAATTTCTATTAATGCCTCATTTTTATTTTTACTTTATTTTATTTTGTGTCATTTATGCTTTCGATAAATCTATTGCCTTGATTCGTATGTGTTCATTTTGTGAGTTATTATCTTAATTACCGGTGGATGGGCAGAGGATACGTTTTGACTATTTGATACTGTACGTTTCCCAGCTCCCTCCTTTCTTCTTATGTGACTCTGCCTGGCGAAGAGTGAAATGTATTAGGCCAATCTCAAGATTGGGTGCTGCATAAATTATGCAGCTAACGTTTCTCTTCTTGCCATTCAGTGACACGCGTAAAGGGATACTTTTTGAGCGTAACTGGCGGGCCAGTCCCCCTAATCCGCAATGGTCTGGATTCCGGTAAGTGTACCTCATTTGTTTTTGCGTACTTGCGCAGTGCTACGTTTTCTATTTTTAAGTCCTCCAGAGGCCTTTCCTTTTTCGCCCAGGTTTTCTCAATGGGACATCTTATTTGTCGGGTTCTTTGGAGGTTTCTTAAAAACCGCGGCACTTTTGGTTGCCGGTCAGGATTTGCGAATCTCTTGGCGGCCACCTTAGCAGTAAGCTACGGATGATCTCGCCAAGTTATCCCATTTTCTCCTGACCGGACAATCTGCGCTAAAAGCATTGTGGTCTTTACGATTTAATTTGGCTCTTATACAGTTTTTGCAAGAGGGCACCTCGCCGGCCAGTCCGCACAGTCGGCCCTGAGGTGTGGGCCACCGCAGTGACTGCACACCTCCTCCGCCTCCGTGCATAATTTTCTCCTATGCCCATACCCCAAGCATCGAGAACATTGCACCAGTGGGGAGTGGTCCACCACTCGCGCTCTCTGCAAATCTATGTGGAGTATACCACTCTCAGTCATAAGTGCCCACAAACGTGGCGACACTTTTAACACTATGTGACAAGTGAGAGAGTTTCTCGTCTTTTTGCGATATTTAATCTCCATTCGCATATCTTCCTCGCTCACTCCCTCCAACAGATTTTTATTTTGGTGTTTAATGGCCTGCAAGATGTCTTCGTCAGTGTTGTAACACATGACATCTCTGACCATTACGAGAGGGTCCTTGTTCTTGATTTCCTCCGCCACAAGCTGCGTCCCATCCCGCTACTAAATCCTATTATTATCCTTCTGTCCTTTGCTTTTCTGATACGATCTATCCTCAATCCTTGCTTCTTTGCATTAATGGTCTTCCTGATCCTCTCCACCACCTCATCTCCTGTTTCCATGTCATCTCGCGAGATAACTGCCATCGAGTGTGTAACCGTTTGCCTCGATCGTGTGTTCGCGCTAATTCCGGCGGCCACATTAGCGTATGTTTTACATAATTCCTTGTTTCCGTGGTTTTTCAGCGTTTCTCCTAAAATTAACATTTCTTTCCTGTTTTCTTCCAAAAGTTTACTGTGTTCACTTATCTTTTGCATCAGTTTATTCTCTACCTCTTCTTTTCTTTCTATTTCCACCACTGGTCTATCATCACTCTTTTCCTGTCCTTTATTTCCCTCTGCCTCCCTGTCTGCTTCTGCCTCTTTAACAAGCTGGTACATCCTCTCTATACTCTGTAATACCTCTACTTTTATTTCAGTTTTTAAATTTCGTGAATTGCTGAGGTGGAGCTTAGCCTTCTGCAGGCAAGCCCTCGCCTCAGCAACTCGGTCTGCATATTTTTCCTTCTTCTTCCCCGGTGAGCTGCCTTCTATTTCGACTGACGTCCCAGGTTGGGAGGGGCCAGCTAATTTTTTCGTGGGTGCCGCCGGGATTCGTCCCGTTACCCTTGTCTGAGCGCTAGGGTTTTTGTCCGTTTTGTCGTTTTCCCACTCTCCTATACTCCGTCTCATGTTTGTTTTCCCCTTCTCGCGTTTAGGAGATGGTCCTGCCATCTCCTCTGGGGAACTCATTTCCGGAAAAATGTTCTTTTTGGCGGGAGTACGGTAACCGAACATGTCAGGGGAGTGTGTCGACTTTAATTATACGAGTAATAGTCGATAATATTAATATAATCTTAACTTGTAAGAGTTGATTAGGTTAGGTTAGGTTAGGTTAGGTTAGGTTAGGTTAGGTTAGGTTAGGTTAGGTTAGGTTTAGGTTAGTTAGGTTAGGTTAGGTTAGGTTAGGTTAGGTTAGGTTAGGTGTTAGGTTAGGTTAGGTTAGGTTAGGTTAGGTTAGGTTAGGTTAGGTTAGGTTAGGTAGGTTTTTTTTTTTTTTTTTTTTTTTTATGTTTTCCACCAGAGATTATAACCGTCCCTGATGGCCGTTTATTGATTAGATTTTCTACAGAGTTTCAAATTGGTAAACTTATAGTTAATATTGTTACACGATAAAAATATTCACTGCATAACTGCTATTGGATACAGTTATGCGTTGAATAATTTATAATATTTTAAAATTTAATTGATAAGTTAATCCCATTAACATTTGTAGTTTGATATTTAATATTGTTATTCTCTGATATTGAAATATTATTTCCATTAAATCTCTTATCATACCTTAACGCTACTATATTAGAGTCTTAATTATTATGCATTGGTTCACATTGTAGTGTTCAAGTGGATATTTTAATAGTTATTTTATTTACAAATTTTTATTTTTAATTGAATATAATGTTAGGACATGGTAAATAAAACGATATCAAGAAGGGACCTTAAATTAACACTTACAACTAAGGGAAGAGAGAAAATTAAAAAGTGTTTATTCTTATTCTAAACATAATTAACGGTAAATTATACAAACAAAGCAATGAATTATGACTAAAACACATACATTTTTTATGAATAAAAGAGGTAACTATACAAATCTTAATGAATAACTAATATTACATAGTTACAACCTGTTAGAGCTTTAACTTAAGACAAAGTTCAGTTTTTTTTTTTTTTTTTTTTTTTTTTTTTTTTTTTTTTTTTTTTTTTTTTTTTTTTTTTTTTTTTTTTATAATAAAAAGAAAAGGTTAAAATCTTACGTGACTAAGTAAATAATACAAGACTAAATTATTTTATACTTATCGTCTAACTATTATTAAAATGTTTCAATCTATTTACAATTTCAAACACAAATCTGTTAAATGAATCCATCGCGGATTGCTTGGTCAGTAGTTTGGTGATTAAATAGGGAGGCACACTCAGATTGTTACATATCAGGTAGGTGAGGTTGCTTTAAGTGATTTTATGTGGTCTAGAGTAGGAAGTATATTCCTCGTGTGTTTTCCCTGTTCGGCACTTTCGTACCGTGCTTGCCAGATAGATTGATTGTCTGTTTTAATTTTATGTTTTATGTATGAGAGTGGGATTGCGAAATAGTCGGGTTTTTTGTGTAATTTAGTGGCAGAGTTGGCAGCTGTATCTGCCGCCTCGTTTCCCAAAATACCTGTGTGTGCCTTGACCCACACTATGTCTATGATGCGTGATGATTGCTGTATTCTGTGGATTGTGTGGTGAATGTTCGTGATGATAGGGTGTGTGTTACTCCGATTTTGTAGAGCGCGGATAGATGAGAGAGAGTCTGTAGCGATAACTGTTCTTGTGTACTGTTTCGTATCTGCCCACAGGCATGCCTGATGGATGGCAAAAAGCTCAGCCTGAAAGACTGTGCACGTATTATGTAGCCTAAATTTTTTGGTAGTTTTTGGATGTGTGTTAGAGTTGTCGTAGCAGACGAAGGCTGCGCCAACGGCACCATCATTCTGCTTGCTACCGTCTGTGTATATTTGGGCATCCACTAGATCTTGCGTTGGGAGCAGTTTAGGATCAATGTTGATTCTCTCCGCGGGGTGTAATAACCTGTGTATGGGAGTGGGTCTTTCAAGGGGTATATCGTCAGGGACGTAATCACATGTGCCCGACAGCCTGGCCCTTTCGACAATGTGTACTTGCCTAACCTTTAGATCTAGGGGCGTGAATTGGGCGAGTGCCACTGCAGCAGTCGTTGAGATAGTGCGAAACCCTCTAATTGCCTTTATCGCGAATCCTCGCTGCAAGCTCTCGAGGCTCCTCCTAATACACCTCTTGTGTGTGACGTGTCCCCAGATCCCGGCCGCGTATGTGACCGTTGGCTCGATCACCTGACGGTAAATGGTGCTGATGTTCTCAGGATGAGCCCCCCATGTAGGTCTCGAGAACATGCAGAGGGCATTAAATATTCGCCGCGCCTTGTCAATGACATATCTTACATGACGGCCGAAGAGGAGTTTCTCATCAAGCACTACCCCCAGATACTTTAGGTCTGGCGAGAAAGCTAATCTCTGTCCTGACATGGTGATGACGGCAGTCTTAGCCTTGGGAGTAAAGGCGATCATCCGGGTTTTTGCAGGTCCGAAGCTGAGCTTCACGCTGCTACCCCAATCGACGATTCGCGAAAGCGATGAGTTGGTGATTGTTTCAAGTTCGCTAACGCTCCCGGCCGTGGCCACCAACAGCACGTCATCTGCGAAGGCCTGTATGTGGCAACCCACTGGAAGCCCAATATCAAGAAGTTCGTCCAGAATAATATTCCAGAGCACTGGGCCGCAAGCAGATCCTTGGATGCAGCCCCTGGTCATCGCCTTAGTAACCCGCTCCCCAGCGTGGTCTAAAATGATCTCGCGATCGCTTACATAGTTGGCTATAAGTCCGAAGATATTAGCTGGACAGCCGATATGTCGCAATCGATTAAAGAGCGCGGGCCACCAGGCGTTGTCAAAGGCCGCTTTTATGTCCAATGATATTGCAATAGAAAGGTGGCGTCTCTCTTTCCCTCTTTTTATT